TAACTTTCAGTAAATTAAATTGTTAAAAAATTGAAATTAGTTTATGGAAGTCACTAAATTCAAATTTCCCAATAATTACCAAAAACCAACGTAGATTACCAATAACTATGGAAATTATTAATAACTACCAAATTTAAATTATCAATATTAAAATTCTACTATAATTTTCTAATTTAATAATTATCAAAAACCAATGTTAGTTACCAATGATTAATTATGGAAATTATTAAAATTTTCAAAAAATATTAAATTTTCTAAATAGTTATAGAAGTTATAAATATAGTTAACATTGTCCAATAATTTTCCAATTTAATAATTACCAAAAACAAATGTGGATAGCCAATAATTAATTATGAGAATTATTAAATTTTTATTGTAAATTAATAAATTAATAATTACTAATAATTTCTATTTACCAAAATTACTTAAGAGTTATTTTCCAATAACTATTTAATAGTAATTTAACATTAATTTGTGAAAGGTAATTACATTTAATTTTCTAATAATTTATTGACTTGTTTTGGTAATTTGCAAAATTGCCAAAATAAGGTCATATTTAGTAATTGGTTCCATGAGTTTGGGTCGTATGTGGGTTGGATCAGACATGAGAACTCTTCTTAACCTATTAACAACTATAGTGTTCACTTAGAGTAGCAATTATGTCTCCGGATCTCCTGCCCATGTCTACCTATAACACACTACCTCCATGCATTGGGAACATCTTTCTGTTCATAATACTATGTAGAACATAGTTTTCAAAACTGGACCGGATTGGGCAGTCAGACCAGAAAAACCAGTAACTGTTCAGCCCCCTGGGTCCAGTTATACTATAAACCATTATTTAGTAATAACCATTGAAAAAGTAAAAAAACCGCTGACTCGGGCGATCAAACCACTAAACCATTCAACCTAGGCAGTGGTTCGCGGGTAGGCAAAATTTATTTTTGTCCGATTAAAAAAAAAATCCATTAACATCCTAGATTCTCCTTTACGAGTTAGGGTTAGAACAAAAGTTCATTTTAACTTCTAACCCTTCCAAGTTCCAACCTTCCTTCTCATACTCTGACGGCACAACCAACGACCCGCGGTAGCCACGACCGATGTCGATCAAAGGTGAATCACGATGACCGGCGACTGTCGTCTAGATTTCCTTCCTCAAAAGAGCTTCATCTATAACGGTGAGCAACAAGGAGCAGCGACGGATTTGCTTCTTCTTGTCATCAGCAACAAGGAGAAACAAGAGCAGCGGTGGCCGGCGATTTTACATGAGTTCTCTCAAAACTATTGCTTTTGTTTTCCAAGGAGCACATCTACTCTACTTTGCGAGCATTGAAAATAGTGTCGCTACTCCTCCCCTTACCATCTCTCCATTTATTTTCCCTGATTCTTGTTCTCATTCTCATTCTCCCTCATACTCTTTCTTTTATTTTATTAATTTATTAATTTTATTGTTTTTTAACTTTTTCCATCTTTAGAATAGAGACTGTCGGCTCTACTCTTTATCACAGTGAAGAAGAAGAAGAAGAAGGGAGAACAGAGTAGAAAATTCGGTATTTTTTATTTTCTATTTGTTATATATTTTGTTATTTTTGTATTTAGATAATTTTATTTATTTGTTTTTTTTTCCTGTATTTTTTCTGTTTTTATTTAATTTTATAATATTTTTTAGTTTAATTTATTTATAACATCACAGGTCGAACCGTTTGAGCCAGATGGTTGAACCGCTTAACAGGAAACCGGTCCCCTGGCCGGTTCTGTTTCCGGTTCGTTTATAAAATCCGGATTCAGCGAATACAATAGCTGTTAGCCCCTCTTCTACTGCATCAAAATGCAGGTGTTCCACAACCGTACCGACACCAGTGAGTGTTCCAGCGACTGTTTTCCAGCAAAAAACCAGCTAAACTTTTATTGAAACAGATTGGAAAACTAGTGATCGACGAAGATTATCTAGATTCCAGATAGAAAAAATAAATCGTACGTCTTCTTGATTTGCAACAACCAATATTGAACAGAGAATGAAAAAAAAAAAAAGTCTACCTATAAACTGATACCACCGTTGAAGATTATCTCTTTTAGCCTTAAACAACAATGAGCAGAGGAACCAAGGAAGAAAAAGTTTGTTTGGGAGAAGAAATGGGGAAATGATAATGGTAAGAACGGTGATACAAAGGAAGAGAAAAAGGGAGTGATGGAAAGAAATTAGATTTTGGAAAGGAAGAAGGAAACTAGTTTTGGAAGTTTTCATTTCCCATACGTTTAAGGTTTGGAAATTTTTTAGCAAATGGAAGGCAAGGTAATGATGTGGCAAAATAAGGGGCCTTGGTAGGGTGAAGTCCAACTCTTATTAACCCTAGCTCATTGCGTAATTTAAGTTATCATATTATGCAAAATTACTGTTTAAAGTTTTTAATAATGTTAGAATTTGTTATTATAAAGTATAATATTATTGTAATTAATTTTAACAATTATTATTGTAAAAATTAAAAAGAAAAACAGTAATTTATTTTGAATAAAATATGTTAACAATTTTTACATGGAAATTAAATTTTATTACTTTAGTTTTATTATTTGTCGTTTTGTATTATTTATTCTTCTCTTAATAAATTTTAGACAGATTTCTTAAACTATCTTTACTATTTAGCTAATTGACTAACTCTACCTATTGACTAAATCCTCCTCCTAGTCAATCCGTTAACCCCAAAGATGAAAAAGACTATTTTACACATTACTTTCACGAAAATTTTCAGTGATTAATTCAAACCTCAAAAGTAACAACAATGGTGGTATGCATCCTCCCAATACGAACCGGCACCATCTTGTTCCTCGCCCTCTCTCTCTCTTCTTCTCCATCTTCTTCCTTTCAGTAGTGGCAAGCCAAGTTCTTCATTTCCATATTCCGTCGCTGCCGCTGCAACTATTAGCAGTGTTGATCTTCTCCTTCTCGCATTTTCTCCCTCCTCAACCCCTGTTTATCCTGTGTCACCATTGAACCACCACCTTACTCCCACTGTTGCAACAAATTCCCGTTGAACCCGATCCAGTTCAGCAAACTCCCTCTTATTTGCATTTTCGTTCGAACCCTAGAATTTCTCTATCAATGCATCCTTTTTTCTTCAGAATGAGTAGAACGAATCCTATTTTACAACTCAAGAGCCTCTCTGATCAGAATCAGAGTACTCTTTTCCTATATTTCCCTTTGGAGTTAGGATAACGATCTGTGCCTGGATTTCTATTTGTAGTTGCTTTGGTTCCCGCTTTTGAAACCAACTGTTCGGTCAGCAATGGTTGCTTTCATAGAGATTTGGCCAATCTTCTTTGCTACATTTCTTGAAAAAATTCTAGTTTGTTGACTTTAGGAGTTCAGATTATATCTTATTGTTATCTGTTATTCTTATAAGGATCTGCTTATGTTTTCCAGCTTAATCTTTTCTATTTTTTTTTGGGCACTCACTGAATTTGGGTTTATAGGATAGATTTCCAGTTGTTCATTTTTGGAATTTTATTGGACGCCACTCTGATTTTCTTAACAGTTGTACTGATTGATTGTTCGAACTTCTAAAGTATAATGCTTTGCAAAGTCAAAATCACGTCCGGAGTTTCTATTGCTTTTGTTGTTTAGTTTATGAAAACAAATGTCTAACACACAGATCCAAGACTTTCAGTGTTCATAAATCATTTTTAGTTCTAGTGATAATCAGCAGTCTGTAGCCTGTCCCTGTTCCTGAAAAATCTGAAAAGAAAAAAGAAAAAGAAATTGAAGGAGTGTTGCTTAATCGGAGGTGTAAATCGGAACGTTGTCAATTAGGGATGGCAATTTTCTCCATGATTCACGTGGGGATCCGCCTCATTCAGGGATGATTTTTCCCCGCAGGGACGGAAATGGGAAAATTTTATCCTCTTTAGCGGGACAGGGTGGGGACGGGGAGAGCACTCCCTGCCCCGCGGGGACCCCGATCTCCACCCCATGGGATTCCCACTAATATATATGTATATAAGTATGTATACATTATATCTGTATATATGTACACATGCATCTATAAATTAATATTTTTAAAAACATGGTTGAATATATTTGAATCTTTTCTAATAAGATTATAAATTTTAATTATTTTTAAAATAAAATGATTAACATTATAAAAAATCATGGGGAATGAGAATCCCCACAGGGATGGGAACAACCTTGTCCCATTTGAATATGTTTGCGGGGATGGAGATGGGGAAAGGCTCCCCGCCCCCGCCCCCGCCCCTGCCCCTGCCCCTGCCCCGTTGCCATTCTTATTGTCAATCCTCTATCTTGAGTCATTGGAGGGGTGGACTGGATGCTGAATAGGAGGGTGGATGAAAGTGATGGTGGTTGTCTTCTGAAAGGGGGAGATCATATCCACCACGTTTTGATCCTCATCGACAGAGTGGATAGAGAGAGAAAGCAAGGGAGAAGATAAGAGACGAGAGATGGGTTGGTCCTTGTTGCAGCTAGGCAGGGGTAGAGCCACTGAAACCATGGCTGACATCTCTCTTGAATGACTGGAACTCAAGAAAATGGATGCTTCTAATACATCTATGAGTTGTCGTCGTGTGGGTAGTCACTACTTTTCGACCCCTCATTCCTCCACCTTTACCTTTTGATTTTTAAAATGGAAGGGTATTTTAGGAATTTTTGAAAAATGTGATGAAAAATTAATGATAGGAGAGGATTTAGCCAATTATCAAAAAACTTAAAGATAATTTAAGATAATATGTAAACAGTACTAAGGGTAGAATTAGTCAATTAACTAAACAATAAGGATAGTTTAAGAAATTTATCCTTGAATTTTTAAATGGAATTTTCTAACATGCCATGGTCCTTCAGCTTTCTGACTTGTGGTGACGTGCTACCCCCGTCTTGTGTATCCTCTTCCGTTAATTATCAAAAGGGTCCAGAATGGACCTCCGAACGTTTGATTGAGTGGAATCGAAATTCCATTCCCATTTCGGGCGGAATGGCAATCCCCCATTTGAGGGAATGGCCATTCCCGACCCACCCCCCGGAATCAGAATCCCATTCCCGCTATCTAATATAAAAAAACCAAAATGACAAAAAAATCCAACTTTCTCATCCTTTTGTCGCTCCCTCCTCCAGCAAAAGTTCGAAGTACTGATCTGAATCGAAACTCCGGCGAAAATGACGACGAGGTAAATCACCGTTAATTTTTTTTCTCTCCTCTTTCCTATTCTTCTTCCTCCTCCTCCTCTCCTTCTCTCCCTCACTTTATTTTTTCATTCCTCTCTAGTTTTTCCGCTGTAGACCAGGCCAGACCAAACCGCAACAAGGTATGCTTTCCTCGATTTTCCTTTGTATGAAATGCATGTTAAATTTAGCATCTCTTCTTTCAAATATTTAAATGTGCTTTAATTTTTTTCCCAATTTCAGTTTGGAATGCATCCTTATGTGAGTAGAGTTATTTGGTTGTTAGTTTTGTATGGTGTTTGAATTTTTCTATGTTTATTTTGTTGTTTGCCCGATTTAGCTCTATCTTTGTAGCTAATAAGTCTGAAAGATCTCTATCAAGTTTATTAAAGTACAATAACATTCTAATATAATTTCAAATTAGATAGAAGTCTGATTAAACATGAATAGTGACAATAGAAAGCAAGAGTTTGAAATCAACAAATCAGAAACAATAGCAAAAGTTTCATAAACAAAATCTCATGTACTAGAGTCCAGTAATGGGCTTTCTTCAGAGAAAATGTCAAAGAAAAAAAACAAAGAAAAAGAAATTAGGACCTTTTAGACTATGCTCATGCTGTGCATTGCCAATGGCAGGCAAGCACAGATCGGAGGGGATCATGTCAAATTGGGTGTTGGATGAAAAAATTCTGCCAAATCATATAAGTGCTGATTTGGAGTTTGAAATCCAAGCAAAGTCAGTAGTCTTATGTTGCCAACCCTAAAGAATTGTTAGAAGGTACTAGTGAGAATGACAAGAAAGATGACTAGCAATCATCTGTGAGAAATATAAAAAAGAACGAGAAAAGAAAAAAGAAAAAAAAAATCCATTACCACCCAATTGCACCTCCACTCTTTAGATCAGCACACACCAACAACCAATTATAGCAACCATTTGAAAGCAAAACCCAAACTCCACTCCAAATCCCAGCATTATAACATTCTTTCAAAATTTGTTAGTAGTTATTACATCCATCAACAAGGTTGAAATTGATACAACCAATAGAATAGTTGATTCTTACCACAAACCAACAACTTGGGAGTTGGGTCAAATTACAGATAGTGAGTATTTGAGTGATATGTTTCTTTGCATGCATTAAAGCCCAAATAAGCCTTTAGTTCAGATCACAGAAGTTAATTGGGCCTTCAACCAACAAAGGTGATCTATTTCATTTGTGCCTCTCCAATATTTTCTAAGGATGGTAGGATCCTTAGAACTAGTGTTTGCAGATTCAGGTGTTGACATTGAATATACGAAGAGCATTTGTGCCATCAAAGATCTAGACATACTCATGATTTCCCATTATTGTGGCCATGCTGCTTTGATGTGATGGATCACCTTATTTGCTATAAATTTTCATTTGAGGGCCTGTGTTTTTAATCTACAGTGTGGTGGGTTGACTACTTGGATGAAAGAGTTTCCATGTTTTCAGACATTTCTGCCAAGGCTTATATTGCTTTCTTGGCATTGGGATTTCTCTCAACTTTATCTGAAGTGGCAAAAATGGAGGGGCAGGACAAAGGGTAGAAATTCAAATTTTGTATCAAGTAGGAAGGGATGCAAATTTTAAAGTTGTCATGACAATCATGATTAGGCATCACAAGCCACAAATTTTTGGAACAATTGCTCTTGAGCCTTGGTTTTTTCTGACCAATTCTCTAGACCAACCCAATCCTAACTAACCAGCTCCGGTTCCAAGGCTTCAACCTAAATCAAAACCAAATCAAATCAGCTTGTAGTGGTTATAGTGATTTTACCTGAAACTTGAGTTTACTTGGCTTAGCAGGGCTTATCTAGATTGCTTCCTTCCCTCTACCAAAATTCTCATATATGCACATGTCTAAAGACAATAATCAACATTATTTAAATTTTTTTTTCAGTAAATCAACATAGTTGATATAAGAGACACTCAAAAAACATTAGATCAAAATGAGTGAATGTAGTTTTCAGGATATAGCATTTCTAATAGAAAACCAAGTTAGGCTCTTCCTCTCTTGAGAGGCACCTCAGTGCTTGGTTCAAATTCCAGTCTTTTACATTTTCTCCACTTCCACCTGTATGGTTTTACTTTCCGCCAATGGGTCCTTTAATTGAAAGAACCTCACAAATTGACAGGTGTCAATGGAAACATACTTAAATTTTGATTCAATTTTTGTATAAATGTTTGTGCCATATTTCTTATCAGGTTTCTTCATATTATTGGTGCAACTGAATTAATAAAAAATGCTACTACAATTAAAGATGAGATGTTGTAGCTAGAGGAAGCCAGAAGGTTTCACATTTCCTTGTATTCACAGGTAGGAACTTGTACCTTCTTTGCCAATTGAAACCTAGCTTCTTTTTTATTCATTAGAAAGTAAGTGCATTTACCATTACAGGGTAATCAAGTATCACCTAGAGTGCATTTACCATTTACCAATGTTTTCATGTAGTTCACATTATTGGCATTCAGTGAAAGTTAATATCTTTTGACTTTAAATGGACATTGTAGAGAAGATGGGCCGAATGGCCCATAGGCTGTTTATCTTTTTTTTTTTTTATCTTTTATGTTCTTTGCTGTAATGGGCCTTAATCTGGGCTTTATTCTTTCTTATGTTATGTTTTTTAATTTTCTGCCCAACTAGGGGCCTCTCTGTAAATTACTAAAGTTTAACTTAATGAATTAGAATTAAGGGAGTAAGAGAGGAGATTATGTTTGAAAATCTCTCTCTGAACCCTAGTTGCCACAACCTTCTTCTTCTTCTTCTCTCCTCACGAAATCTGATTTCTGCTACTTTCTTTTGAATTTGTGCAACTTTCTAAACAGTCCTTTCTTCTCAAAAGGCTGTTTTTCTTCTGACATGTTGCTTATATGTAGGTCTGTATCATTTATTGGACTCTGATGTCTCTCTTTTTATTGTTCTCTTGTTCAAAATAGTTCTTCTGACTGATTACATATCAGTTGGATCCTGTAACTTTCCTACTAGTTCTGTCCTATATTGTAGCTTCTAGCGGAAAGGATTTTTCAGTTCTAGTCTCCAAGACCAAGGACACAACAGTAGCAGAAACAATGGACTACACTGACCTTCCACACTCTCAGATAAGAAAAGTAATCACCTCAGCTTATTTATTGCATATGTTAATAGGAATACAGAGACCTAACATGGTGAAATGGAAACTGTATCATCTCTTTTACCCTGTTTTTGACAGGTCACAGCTTCATGCTTGCTACTTTCAAAACAAACTATTCCTCATTACTAATTGACAGTGGACACATGTGTTGACAAACTTATGGAGTAAGTTGTTATCTTCCACTTCTTGAAATATAAAATAATTATGATATGAATGTTTCTGACAAGAAAAAGAAAATGGTATGAATTGCTTGTGATGGTAATCTTCATGTACAACTTATGGAGGGATCATTCTACAATTTTCTGGACCTATACAAGCAGAGCTGGCCTCTATAATTCAAGGCATGAAACTAAGCTTTGCTTTTTGATTGGAAAATGTACAAGCTGTGAGGATGAACTTGGGTGCATAGGGCACACCATTAGAGAAGTAGGGTACCAGGTGTATAGAATAAACTGCTTGTTCATCCGGTTTTCAAGGTCTGCCAATGCCTTAATGCCCTTAACAGAAATATAGAAATCCTAGTTATTGAATAGGGGGCCATATATCTTTGGGGGAACCATCGAGTTTGGCTAAATGTTTTCTTTGATCTATTGCTGATATCAATAGGCCTTCATCCAAATGTTGAGTCAAAGGAATCGTTGGAATCAAACGCTTGATTGATACTGCTTGTTCATCCGGTTTTCAAGGTCTGCCAATGCCTTAATGCCCTTGACAGAAATATAGAAATCCTAGTTATTGAATAGGGGGCCATGTATCTTTGGGGGAACCATCGAGTTTGGCTAAATGTTTTCTTTGATCTATTGTTGATATCAATAGGCCTTCATCCAAATGTTGAGTCAAAGGAATCGTTGGAATCAAACGCTTGATTGATTCAGGTACAAAAGGATCATTGATCCACAATGACTCAATTCTGTATGCTTGAGACTGGAATCAACTAGGGAGGGAGTTGCACATAACACAAACAAATAAGACTGCTATATTCCAACTTTTTTCTAACATACAACTTCATTTACCTAGTTATGCAGGTTCATCCAAGTATGTGCAAGGGAGCTTATGTGTCCAGCTTATCATGAACTATGTAACACCACATCAGCACCATATCTTGAACTATGTAAGTTCAGTCCTTATTTCTTCTTTTTTTTTTTTTTGAAAATTCTGCAAAATATATGAATCATTAATCCAATAATTATATAGTAGATTAAAAACATGAAACATCAATTTTTCCTTTTTAAGTTGAGATGGGGTTTGAAACTATCTAACTCTAAAATTTTTCTAGTCGATTAATACATGTCTTATATCTCATAGGGACCATTATAAATGGAAGCAATTAATCCCTGCAATTGGCTCCTATACCAATATGTCTCATATCCAAGCAACAGTTATTTGTTCTAGAAAAGCATGCCTGCAACTTTGTATCCGAAGTGGTGGCCACGATTACGAGGGACTTTCATATGCATCTGTTGTTCCATTCATCATTGTTGACCTACTAAATTTTTTATCTATTGACGTTGATATAGAAGATAACAGTGCATGGATTCAAGTTGGACCAATTCTTGGGGATGTTTATTATAGAGTTGCAGAGATTTTGTTTGTTTATGTATTTTTCTTTTCATTTTTTATGGTGGAGAATGATTTTTTTCTTGTGATTTTTGTTTGTTTATGTGTTTTTCTTTTCATTTTTTTTTTCATATTTTCTCCATATATGCACTTGTTAGCAGGTTGCCAATGTGTGTATATATTAAAAATATGTAATGAGCGGTAGTTTTGATGTTTTTTTAACAAGGGCAAAATTGGAAATTTTAGCTGATTCCGATTCCAGCTTATAGTTGAACCAAACAGTAACAATCAGAATCTGATTTCGATTCTTGACTGAACCAAACAAGATCCAGGAATAGGTGATTCCGATTCTGATTCCTGGGAATTCTGATTCCGATTCCAATTCCGGTCCTGTCCATGAACCAAACACACCCTTAATTCCTATTGGTATTCCTTATTAAATAATTCTTTTTTATTATATTTAATTGATTTTTTATATTTTAAATGGTATATAATTTTTAGTAATTTTTTATGTTTTATAATTTAATTTTTATTTATTGTTAATAATAGTTATTTTTAAACGGAATTCAAAAGAACCTTCATTTTTTAATTTGTGAATTATTATTTTTTATTAGTTTCATAATTCGTTATTTATTATTAGATGTTTTTATTGTTTATTAAAATTTACTATTTTTATAAGTTATTCTTAATTTGTAGTTGCTAATATTAGCCCAAGAAAATATAACTTTAGTTACAGATCAAAAGTTAATTATAAACATATAGAAGGGAAAACAAGAATTGAGTAGAGATTCTTTTTTTTTCTTCATAAAAGCTATACAACCGACGGCAACAAGGTTTGATCTCAAGTCTCTACTACAAAGAGTCAAAGATCCTAGCAACTGAGACACCATCAATTGGTCCAAATTGGGTAGAGACAGGGGGTTTAGAGTTAGGGGTTACGTAGGAAGAGATGATGGGTGACCGAAGTTGTCTCCAATGACTATTTTGTTTCTAGAATTAAAACCATTAATCATATATTAGCGGCCAAAAAACCCATTAATAATATTTTGTGATAATATGAAGGAAAAGAAATAAAAGTTACTTTAATTACTTAATAAGTAGTAATCCTTGGCACATCAAAAGAAGTACTAAAAATCTAAAAATCATTTAGAATAGTAAAATGGTAAAATGAGAGACCTCTGGGGTGTAAATGGATCGAATTCGAATTGGATCAAGTAATATCCGAATTCGAATCCGATTAAAAAATTTTGATATCTGAATTCGATTCGATATCTAACGGATATTGAAAATTAATATTCGAATTCGAATCCAATTAAATATTTGAATATTCAATTCAATTCGATTCGATTCAAATTTGACTAATTAATTATTTTAGGTAATTAATAAATATATAAAATAAATATTTTATTTATATAAAATATATAAATATATAAATTATTTATATAATTTAATTATTATATATAAATTATATAAAACATTTAAAAATTTTATATATAAAAATTAAATAATTGGTCGAATTCGGATATTTATCGAATCGAATTAGGTCATATTTGAATTCGACCGATTAAATATTCAAATTATCCGAATTCAATTCGATTATGTCGAATCTCGAATTCAAAATCAGATTTTCGAATACCATTGGCACCCCTACCTCCAAAATGAAAGAAGATTCTCACTTTGGCATTTTTGGTTTGCAATATCTTCTTTTTCTTTTCTCTTTTCACTAATATTCTCAATCTCCTCTATTGGTACAGACTTGATTGGTTTCTTTATTTGGACGGTCTAAGATGTAATGACAATTGACTCAATCTCCTGTGTTATAGGGCCAATGGTAGCAAGTGGTGATGTGTTTCTACTAATTTAGCCCTTGCACTACATTTTAGGATTATGTCTAATCAAATAGACTAGACACATTGATAACCCTGGGGTGCCACACTTCTCAGACTACCTATTCAACATTGGAATATCCTGATTCCTCCTATAAAACCTGTGGACTCAACACCAATAGTCAGCTCCAAAGGTCCGAGGAATGGTGGTGGTCTACAAGTAGAGAGGGATGTGAGAAAGAAGAGAAAGAGGAGGAGAGAGAAAAGTTGGTTCCCTCTCACTCACGGGTCTGAAAAATGGGTCTTAGGTCAAGAGATGGGTAATGGGTTAAATTCCTCTTAAAATGGATATGAAATCCTCATTTATAGATTTTGGGTGAAATAAATACCAGAAATTTCTTCATATTTTTCATTTTGCCCTTATTCTGGAATGTTTCCCTATTTATTTAATGCACATGTTTAATTAATATTCTAGAATATTCAATACTCAAACTTTTAATTAATTAGTTTGAAAATGAAAGGTCTGACCCAGGTTTACCTCGAGTCAGCTGGGTCTACGTACTTATGCATTGTCATCCTCTTACAAGTAACCAACTAACTTTGGTTACTTGTAAGAGTTCAAATCAGTCCCCCACAAGATAGTTTCCCACAGCACATTCCCGTCCTATATTAAGAACATTTTCCGACGATAAGTAATAGAAATGATGAGGCATCATCAGGAGATATTCTCAAGGGGATGTGCTGTGAGGTTCTGGGAAACTATCTTGTGAGGGGCTGATTTCAACTCTACTTATAAACGGAATTAAACATAAACTTCAACTTTGTTAGGGTTTTATAGCACTTTGAAGCGAGAATGTTGCAAGTTTCTTTTATGAGCTTATAAGTTGGGCGCAACGAAGCAAATAAGTTGGGTGCGATGAAACGATTCTATGCATTATGGATTCATATTGCCCTTGGAACAATGCTTGTTTGCGCTTACTTTGGGTATATAAAGGATAGGGGTGCTCTCTCCGTGTAGGAAATGGAATGCGAGTAGATTCTCACGTGAGAGCAACCCAGTAATTATAGTAATTAATGGAATCTACTAATTATTACAGTAATTAATTACTGATTATTATAGTAATTCAATAAATATATATTTAGTGATTATAATCAATAATTACTGTTATTATAAATATTGTTAATAACTAGATATTTACTTTAAAATTATAAATACTGTTATTAAAAAATACTGTTAATAAAATACTGATTATTGCAGTAATTTAATAAATATATAATTATTGATTATAATTAATAATTACTATTATTATAAATATTGTTAATAAATAGATATTTACTTTAATTTTACTTTAAATTAAAATTATAATATTGTTATTAATAAATATTGTTAATAAATTTAGTAATTATTGTTATATTAAAAATAATTAAAAATGTTATTAAAAGTATTGTTATTGATTATTTAATAAAATATTATAATTATGAACTATTACCGATAAATAGTGTTAATTTAATTTAATTTTGGTAATTATTAATTTAATGAATATTGTTAATAAATCCTATTCATAAATTTAATATTTATTGTTATATTAAAAATAACTAAATAATATTATTAAAACTATCATTAATGATTATTTAATTAAATAGTATAATTACTTACTATTATTGATAAATGTTGTTAATAACGTTCTGACAACTGACGGTTCGACCGTCCGGTTCGAACGATGGCCCGTTCTGACAACAAAAATTAGAAGCAAAAAATTATGGAACCGTTCTGGCCACTGGTTTTTGGGTTAACGGTTCAATCATCTGGTTCGAATGGACGGTCCATTCTGACAACAAAAATTATAGGCAAAAAATTGAGTTTGTGAGGTGCATTAAGTAGTATCATACGTGTTATGTCATTTAAGCGTGTGACTCATATGACCTGAAAATAGAACAGTTCTGGCCACCAGTTTTTGGGTCGATGATTCGATCGTTCGGTTCAAACGAATGGCCCATTTTGACAACAAAAAATTACAGAACCGTTCTGGCCACCAGTTTTCAGGTTGACGGTACTATCGTCCGGTTCGAACAGACAACCCATTCTTACAACAAAAATTATAGGCAAAAAATTGAGTGTGTGAGGTCTATTAAGCAGTATTATACGTGTTATGTCATTCGACCCGAAAATGGAACCGTTTTGGCAACCGGTTTTTGGTTTTACTATTCGGTTTGAACAGATGGCCCGTTATGACAACAAAAGTTAAAAAAATAAAAAAAAAATGATCAAAAACCATTGAACGGGACAAAATTCGACCACCTGGGTCAGTGAGTCATTGACCGATTCAACGATTTTTTGCCAGGGACCGAGATTAGGATAAAACGGAACCAATTGCCTGGATGGTTCCCAATTAAAAAATTAAAAAAGAAAATGGCCAAAAACCATTGAGTGGGTCGATGGTTCCATTCCAGCCCCTGCGAAGCAGGGCCCCTCCACTAGTTTTTATTATTTCAGTAGCTATTAGCCCCAATGATTACACCCCAAAATTCTAAGGAATTTTAAGCAAATTTGTCCCCCAAATATTTCAAAAATTTTAAGTACATTCTGTCCCAAATTGTGAAAATTTTAAGCAAATTCAGACCCCAAATTTTCTAAAAAATTTAAGCAAATTCAACTCCTAGTGGGGTTGGGAATATTAACTATATGGTATGGGGGTGTGTGAAACTGTATGATATGATTAGTAATGGGGATGAATTGCAAAGACTAAGGGGGTGTTCTGTAATGTAGACAAGATATTGTGTGGTGTGGATTCATCTACACCACACCACATGCTCGAGTTGTTCTCTAGCATGAACAAACTATGTGGATTGAACCACACCACACCAATAGAGGCATTCTCCAAGGTGTGGTTCAATTCAATCCACACCTTGTGTTTTGATTCTATGTATCCCACATACAATGTATGAAATGATTTACATCATTGATCAAGTATAAAAATTATTATGTTTTATAAATAAGATAAATAGTAAAATAAAACAGTTTGGATTTCCTACTAACCCTTTCCTCCTCTTCTCTCTACTAACCCACTCAAATCAGGCCACCTGTCCTTGTCTGTGCAACCTCCCAACAAATGTCCAACAAAGTTTACCCTCCTTAACCTTATTTTTTATGGATTAAACTTTTGGGAAAATAGATCCCTACAAGTTGGCTAGTAGTCCATTTTTGTTTTTGTTTTTTTTTATTAGTCCACTGGTGAGTTGATTAGTCACTAGTTCGATGAAAGAAAGTAGAGCAAAAAGACTCGATCGGTCTAGCACAATCTGAGTCCACTAGCTTTGAAGGTGTTTCAGAAGTTTTTGACAATCTCTTATCAAGAGGTGACAAGAGAAGTAGCACTGGATGGTCAATCTTATTGTTTTTCCTATCATCTCCCTTGCCATAGAAAAACTTGGTGAGCTGCTCGTTCAAGAAGCATCTTTCTTGTCAGACATGAGAGATGAAGTCAAAGGGTTGCAATCTGAATTGGAATGGATGCGATGCTTCTTAAAAGATGCAGAAGCGAGGCAGCAAAAAGACGAAAGAATCTGCAACTGGGTTCGGGAAATCAGGGATGTTGCTTATGAGGTGGAGGATGTTATTGATACCTACATGTAGGGGAGAAGGAGACGATGGAGCTATACCCAGAATTGCTTTGGTATGGTCAATAAGGGGAAAGATCTATATAAGTTAAGAAAGCAGATCAAAAAAATCCAGAAGAAGATTGGCGAAATTTCTCGTAATCATGAAACTTATGGCATCAAAGATATCAGTGAAACAAGCACAGCGATGAGCTCTTCAATTGATATGCAGAGTCTATTGAGACGGGCCTATTCGCACGATGTGGAAGATGATGTTACTGGCTTGGGAGGAAGATACAGAGAAATTAGTGTCGTTGTGCAATTATTGAAGATGAAGAATGTAAGATGTGAATACGAGTTAATATCGTACAACATTAAATTGTATGTAATGTTGAGTCTAAGCATGTAAGATGTGAATGCGTGAGTTTCTGGTCCAAACTTATTATAATTAGGCATTGAATCATGTAAGTATGGCAACCTGAATATGTCCATTGCTAATTATAAAATTGTGCTTGTGAAATATGTAAGCATGCATATGAATCATGAGGTGTATGCATATGTGATGTGTGGGTGCCATGTAAGCATACCATATATAATCTTGAGAGTGAAGTATGTAAATACATGAACATGGAGTTGTAAGTGCCTGGACTAGGGCTTGAGGTCCCTAGGGAGACAAGGTCTTAAGAGAGATGCCTGGGGAGTTCAGGTCTTAAAAGAGATGTATGCAAGAATTAAAATATTGACATGATACGCCTCTTATCTGGGGTATCATATCAGTATTAGACCATATCAATACGGGATACGTCACAACTAGAGGTATATCCTACTAATCATGCATATTGGTCTGAGATGCTATCATATCGAACCCATACAGAAGTGTATCGAACCACAGTTTGGTGACGCTATTCACTATAAAAAAAAAAAAGCTTGTAGTGTGATTCAAACCTAAATACGAAGATTGCCTAGAACTATATCATATATGCACCTTTAACCATTGAGCCAATTTTTCTTTGATGATGATAAAGGAAATAAATTTACTTTTATTAAATTTTATATTTACATGAAATCCAACCAAGCAACATGCACTCATTTTCAACAAATGCAGTTACAAAATTTAATACTTAAAATTTATAAATTTGCACATGATATATATCTTACTAATTTTATAAATTATTAATTAATATTTTAATTTGCATTAAATAACAATTTATTTATTATTTACAAAATATTTGAAGATATAATAAAAATTGAGTCTATCAAATCCACTAATCTATGTTTATATCAAAAAATTAACTTTTTTATTTTAAAAATTTTATAAAAATAAAAATATAATAATGGAATAATCATTTTAGTAATGAAAATTTATGAATTTTCATATGATATGTATCTTCAAAATTTTAATAGATTTGATATATTTTGATGTTAAACTTAATGTTAGTAATATATTTATGAAATTTATATTTATTTTTCTAATATATCCAAGTATTTTCATATTTTTCGTCTATATCCATGCATTTCTAAAGCGCATCCGTATCTGAATTGTCCGATACAATACCCAATCAAGGCTTTGGGAGGAACATCTCATCATGTCACCGTGAAGGGTGACGTCTCCAAGCAAATAAATTAAATAAGTGCCATGAGAGGTAATGCCCTCGGACGGGCTATTAGGTGGCCAAGCAAGAATAGCGTCGAGAGGATTACCATCGATCTAAAGCCCCCCGGTGTTACTGGGACTTTGGCAATGAATGCTTAATGAATGACTAGATTATTAGTGTCAATCTGGAACCCCCAAAGTTATTGGGTCTTTGGTAGTGGGTGCTTGAGACATTAAGGCCTTACGATATGAATTTCTAGAGGTTTACCATCAAGCCAGAACCCCCTTGAGTTACTAGGAATTTTTATGAATAATCAGTAATACAATTCAAAATAATCACGCCATTTAGGAGTAGTACATGTGCAGATAAGGAAATCATTGTTGCATACATAATAACATGTCCCATAGAAGGCTCATGCTGAAATGATATCAAAGTGATGTTTGAATAATATTGGAGATAACAGAACCACACATTGGAGCTAGCTGGTACTTACGTACGTTGTACCATCGTAATCACATATTCAAATCACATGTGTTTGGAGAGTGTCTTGCTTGAAGCATAATTCCAGTGTTGAAATGATGGTAAAGTTTCTTGCAAATAATTATTGGAATAATCATATTTATATTGTCCGATTCGAGGTATTCTGAATTGATGACATAATCAGATAATCGTGCTAATTACTAGATGATATATTTTTAGAAAATAATGCTAAAAAGTGTTCAAAAGAATAACTGGTCTATTAAAGCAATCTAGATAATGGAGTACTATGGGCTACCATATATATTGTTGTATATATACCAGTAGGGCTCGCAATCTTAACCCTGACCCATTTGACCCACCTTGGAACCCACCTATACCCACCCAATCTATTGGCGGCTCAATATGGGTTGAGTAACCCATTAGGGTCAGTACAAAAGGATCAAGGTGGATTGGATCGAGGGTACCCATTTATGGTCACGATGGGTTGGGTCAAAGTCAACTTTATCTATATATTCGCCCAATCTCAAAAAAAATCAACAACTAAAGTGATTTGAACTCAAGCCCTTTAGTCCGTCCACATCTCATTATAAATCCAAACCACCATGCCACATCTCATTTTGTAATTAAAAATGAAATAAAATAGATTTTATTAATATTCGTGATCACATGCAATTTTACACGAAAGCACTTTTACAAAAGCAATTTTATAAAGTATTTTTATGAAAGCACTTTTACAAAACTACTTTTACATTGAAGCACTTTTATAAAAGTAACAAAAGCACTTTTACGAAAACACCTATGAAAGCATAAAATCACTTTTACAAAAGCACTTACAAAAATACTTTTACACGAAAGCACTTTTATGAAAACATAAAAGCACTTTTATGAAAGTACTTTTATGAAAGAACTTTTACAAAAATACTTTTACCTGAAAGCACTTTTATAAAAGTACTTTTATGAAAACACTTTTATGAAAGAATAAAAGCACTTTTATTAAAGTACTTTTACAAAAGTACTTTTATGAATGCACTTTTACATAAGTACTTTTATAAAAGTACCTTTGCAAAAGCACTTTTACGAAAACACTTCTATGAAAGTTATGCATTTTTATGCAAACTTCTGGTATTTTTCTACATTTTCTGGTATTTTTCTGCATTTTTTACAATTTTTTTGCTACTTTCTACATTTTCTGTAATTTTTTTGTATTTTCTGTATTTTTGCAATTTTCTTGTAATTTTCTACATTTTTTGAAATTTTCTGGTATTTTTCTGCATTTTCTACATTTTTTTGGTGCTTTTCTGCATTTTTCTTGTTTTTTCATGCATTTCTTTCAATTTTCTGGTATTTTTTGCATATTTTCTGATTTTTTTCTACAAAAGTTCTGAATTTTCTGAAATATTTTGGTATTTTTCGTAATTTTCTGGTATTTTTTTGTATTTTTTTGAATCTTCTACAATTTTTTGGTATTTTTTGAATTTTCTACTATTTTCTACATTTATCTACAATTTTTGCATTTTCAAGTATACGGGTTGATCTGGTTCGTTTTTGTCACGTGGTAGTCTTAAGAGAGATGATTCTCTCAAAAAAATGTTTTATTTTTTCAGATATATGGGTCAACCCAACCAGTTTCTATCATGTGGCAGTCTTAAGAGAGATGATGTTCTCAAAAATGTTTTTTTTTTAGGTATATAGGTTGACCCGTCCCGGTTTTCTCACGTAGCATCCTTGAGAGAGATTATTCTCTCATAAATTATTATTTTGGGTATACGGGCTGTCCTAACCCATTTTTGTATTTATAGGTGAAGGTAGATGAATCAGTATGGGTAAGGGTGGTTAAGGGTCATTATGGATGAATCAAGTAGGTTAGGGTGGATTAAGACCCTTTAACAATGATTAATGATGGGTCATAGTGGGTTGGTGGGTCAATATGGGTGGATTGGTATTCAACCCTTACCCAACCCAACCCAACCTAAAAATGAAGTTAATAAATGATGTTATAAGAGAGGGTGCCTTTGTTGCAAAGTGAAAAGTTCAGGGGCCTTTGCGGAAGATATTGAAAGATCAAGGTGTAATTGCCACTAACCCCGAGAAATGTAGAAGGGGTTTTGTTGCAAATGAAAATTAATGTCAGAACCCTATTACAGGGGGTCATTGTAATAAATACCCAAACTTTTATGGGAGAATGACCAATCAGCCCAGACCAGAATTTCATAGCTCGAAAGTACAGAAGGAATGCATGCTGACCGTGAATTGGTGCCAAATTCACGGACAGGATGTGGTTTACAGGGGGGAGAGGGCCAGTAATAGGGGGGCTGGAATTCAGAATTCTGCATTGTATGTATCCGTACTTCTCCCAACTTTTATTAGCCTAATCCCAATACAATCCAAGTACAAAGTTTTCAAGAACCAAAGTACATAGAAAGTACAAAATCTCACAAAAAGACAGCAATTAGGAGTTTTGTAGTTGTACCCAAAACTACCTGGGAACAATGTTAACAACAGGAAACATTATTATTGACTGGCCACCAAACTTATTTTGCATGATGACCTTGAGAAACTGCAGATGAGGATGCACAGTCTGTTGTTTGAAACCCTATTCTCTCCTTCTCCAAATCGTAGACAACCTCCACATTTTGCTGCTGAAAGCTCCCAAGCACACCAGCTGGGCCATAATCGCCATCATCCATGCTCTGGAACAATAAGCACTTCACCACACTGGAGTTGCTTGGAGCACCCATGGCGTAGAAGCAGTTCTCCTTAGGCAGAACTAATGTCACATTGTTCAGGAAATGAAGAGAGATTGATGGAAGAAGATGATCTACTACATAATTACTACTTTTTGAAAAAGGAACTATGTAACAAAGATCAAACCCAGTTTTCTTCTCATGTTCTATGGATCGTGGGTAGCTTATCCCCGACTGTAGCACTGAGAGGAGGTGCGAGTAGAATGGCTCTGGAAGGTGAGTGTATGTAGTGCCTGAATCCATCAAAAGACCTCCATTACCTTTCAGATCAAACTCCCTCAAGCCTGAAGGAACTTCAACTGCACTGACAGGGCCTACACTGACAGCCTCTAGTCCAACATAGTAGTAGCTAGGATACATGGGACTCCTCAACATGGGTGTAAATTGCAAATGGTCTTTGGAGGATATTGCAAGATCACCTATAATCAATGAACTAGAAACATTGGGATTGTTAGCAAACTTGAAGGGTAAGAAGCAATGAGAAAAACCCTTATGAAGTAACCCAAGCTGTGAAGGGAGGGAGAGTGCACCCCTACCAAACCCTGCAATTCCAATTGGTTCTCTATAGGTAGAGCCTACACATCCAAAACAAAAGTTTGGGATGGTTCTAGTTACATTTGGGTTACTCCCATGGACCATTAGGTTATCCCTTGTCAGGGTCCCCATGACAATCCCTCCTGCACCATAGGTGTATGAAAATGAAGGGCATGGTCTAGGGCAGGTGCCCCTCAGAAGGGTAATTAGAGAGCAACCAGCTACAGTACATGGGTCATAAGAGTTATCAGAGCTATGAATGTCAACACAGAAGGAGCTAGTGCAGAGGTCTCTAAGGGATGAAAGTGAGTGAGAAGGAGAGAAACTGGCCATCAGCTTGTAGTTTCTATAGTCATCACAGTCCATGCAATCAAAAGAGAGGTTACCGCAAGGAACCCAAGTGAGGTCACTGCCAGTATCCATATATACCTGGATGACCTGTGAGGGTGTTCCTAAACTCAAGGATATCAGATACCCATCTCTAACTCCCTTAAGTGGCTCCATCATGTCCAACATCTCCGACGGCTTCAAGTGGGCTCTGCCGGAAACCATTGGAACTGGTACTGGAGGGGAGGTTCTAGAGTGAGTCAGGCCCAGCACCAGTGAACTGGGGTTTCTGTCTTTGGCATGGGATTGACTGAACAATGTGGCTGTGAGAATGATGAAGAGAAAGAAGGCAATACCAATACTCATGGTGATGACCTCAGTTGGCGCTTTGACTCCTTGTTTGAATGATGATGGGAAAAGAATAGGCATAGGTGTGTATTTATAATGGCCATTAATGGAGACATTCAATCCAATGACTGATTCGTCGAATCAAGCTTCGTGCGGTCTGATAAAGACCACTAGACGTGCAAGCAACAGAATAATACCATGTAGAAGTAAGATATAGAAATGGGTTCTTAGTTTTCTTTTTCCTTTTTTTTAGAGAGAGAGAGAGAGAGAAGCTGTTTGCACTTTGCATGCATGAAGCTATAGCCAATCTATGAATTGAATGGTGAACGCCTGAGCAGCGACCCATAATACCAAGTAGAAGTAAGATATAGAAATGAAGAAAGGGGCCAAACTAGGTCTGCGCGTGCTTTCACTTATTCCTCAGAACTATCAAAGTTGTCGAAACAAAGATTAGAGGCTTGCATGTTTTCAGAGGACCCACATGCAGGAAGAAGCTGAGAGACTGATACTTGAACACAGTAACACGTGAAAAGTTGTGCTTTAAGTCTTGATGAGTGAATGTGTGTCACATGGTATGGCGCTGAACATATATATTTGATAATATTTGTGGAGCAATCAGGACTTGAGATTTCTGAGGGATCAAATAGATACTCCATTAAACAATCTCTGCATCAGTTTCAGACTTTCAGAGATATATATATATATATATATATGTGGTGAAACAACATTGCTATTGGCAAACTAACCTAGGCAATACTTATTAGACAAATAGATAATTGCAAATGAAGGGATATAGTAACAAAAAGTAATCAACTTCGCGTTCAATGTCTGCTCGATCGCCAGTTGATGAACTGTTGAGATTGTATGTCAAAGCAGGCTCAACTAATCATGTTCAAACTCGCTTGCTCATGAAAAGAACATTAGTGGAGCTCCCTTTTGGTCACCACAAAATTGAAGCCATCACGTGAAAGATTCTTAATTGGCTCATATACATCTTTCGCTAGCTAGATGATTAGTCTAGAAAAATGGGGTACGTAATAAAAATGAAATTTGTGGTTTCAGATCAGTCTTCTATAATTAAGCACAAGAATGGGGAATTGACTATAGTATATATTATATCACATTCATGCTTTTAAGTGTTGCTAAAGCTGCCAAATGTCAATGACCAGAATATTTTATTGGATCCATCATCATCATAATTATAGTTATTATTATTGTTGTCGTAGTTGTTGTTGTTCTTCTTCTTAAGATTTGTTTTCTCACCAAGTTTAGGTTTTCTCTATGCATATTAAACGCGACACATGTCTATAATGGAGGTGATTTCTAATGCCTCTATAATGACATTTTTGGCCATTCATCTTGGTGGAAAAAAGGAAGAATCACTATTGAGGTTTGGCACTCAAAATACATTACACATGAAACTCTCTCTCTCTCTCTCCATACAAAACTCAAGTCCTCATCCGTTGTTAACCAAGGTTTTTTTGCAAAGGCTTCTTGTAGTTTGGAAAGAAAAAGTTTTTTTATAGAGACTTCTTGTGGTTTGGCAAGCATTGCTCACCATCCATCATCTTTGTCATTGTTAACGTGGTCTAGGATGTCTATAAGGCTCAATTTGGAAGGAGTATAAATACAAATATGTAGAGTGCAAAACCTTGTATTACTAGTAAGTATGCACGTGCTTTGCATGTGACAATTCTAGATGATGATAATTATAGTAATAATATATCCAAATTTTTCTATAAAATTTATGTATTTTTTATGTTTTTTATTATTAATCAAATGCAAATTGCAAGATCCAAATCAAATTACATAAACACCTCATCCAAATATGTGATAATCAGATTAATTTGTGAAGTTTCAAGTATCATTGAAAAACCTACTTGACTAGACTCTTCTTTTTGTGGTGTTTTATCTTTTTAGTGTATATTTTTTCTTTTGTTCATTTATCAAAAAAAAAATATAAGATTTAAATAGAGGGAATTGAATGAGGTTAAAAGTAGTAGTTCAGTTTACAATTTAAATCTTACAATTAAATAGGAACTAAATTAAAAAATGAATATTTTAGTCATTGTTTTAAAAACCAGACCAGACCAAATGGTCGAACCATTTGGCCCGGGAACCAGTTAGCTCACTGGTTCTGTTTTGGCCATGAACCACTATTTTACAAAAATCGTTAAAATTATCAGAGAACTACTAATCCGAATGGTTTAACCATTAAAATGTTCAACCCAATTAGTAGTTCTTGGGTTGCCTTCAAACTAATTCCAAATTTGTTTTTTATTTTAAAATAGAAATTAGAAAATAAAAAAATGAAAAAAGAAATTTTCATATCTTGTTCGGTTATTCCCAATGGCCAAAATTAGTTAGGGTTTTTAGTTTTTTCATTTTGAATTTGAGTTTTCTCATTTCCATGCTCTTTTTAAATTGTAACAGCAAATAAATTGCAACTCCAATGAAGAAGTCGAAAAATCAATGCAAGAGAAGAGAGATTAAACACTGATCTTATATTAGATATCTGATATACACCAATGAAGATAACGATATGGGATATGAGAGAGATTCAAAGAGATGATAGAGATGTAAGAAGAGGGCAAATGGTGTTGTAGCGGTGGTGATAATGAACATGGAGATAACCACTGGTGAAAGTTCCTTCTTCTTCTTCCTTTTTCTCATTGCTCGGCTTTAACCAGCCACCTCCTTCTCAAAGTCTCACACTCCCTTCTCATAATAATGTATATATATGATGAACTTTAACCTAATCCTAATCTAATGGTCAAAATAAAAAGTTAAATTATATTTTACATCTTATTGGTTTGACCCCTCTCAAACTGGATGGCTGAACCGTAGACCCAGAAATCAGAAACCATAGGGGTTCCATTTTCGGGTCGGTTTTTAAAACATTGATTTTAGTCATAAGAAAGTTCAACAATATTATTCATATTTTTAATAGTAGTATAAATATAGAATTATTGATGTATTCAATTTTTTCTATATTTTTTGTATTTTTGTGTATAAAAATAATTCTAATATGTCACACTTACTTTTTGTTTAATATGATAAATATATGATATTATACATGTGCTCAAATGCTTTTTTCACAAATTTTATGTAATTTTTTCCATTTTTGTATTTTTATATTTCATTAACTTTTATTATTTATTTATGATATTAAAGGTTAAAACATTTAACCCAAAAGTTTAACTATTTATTATTAATTTTTATATTTCTTTTTTAGTCAATTCTAAATTATGTATTTCATTTTTGTGTTCGACTATGATATGGAGAATATATGATATCTGAAAAACTTTTGACCAATCAACTAGAATCATAAACATGGTAGCCAATTAGGTGTTATTTATTAGAATTCATCATGGGTGGGTTTTGATTGGTCAAAACTCCTCCCATACCATGTCTTTCCTGCATCATAGATTTTTCCTTCATTTTTATTATCAATAAAAATAATTCTTCTTTATTACACTTATTGTTTTAATTTGATTAATAAAAATATCATAATTGTGTCTAATTTTTTTATATTTTTTGTAATTTTCTATATTTATTTCTATTTTAAAAATTATATTATCTAACTATGACTTCATAGGTTGATCATTTTTATTCGGATGGTTGAATTTCTTACGCTACAAGAAAATTGACCTTTGGCAACAATCAAAAATCGTTCCCAATATAGGAAAAACTGTTGCCTAATATTTTAGTTACAACTGAACAAGTTGTGGCTAGTGAAGCCGTTGTTAAAAGTTTTTAACAACAATCAATTGTTGCAAAATATACCAATTGTTGGCAGCAATAGTTTTTTACCACAACCAAATGTTTTGTTTTAGCAACAATTAATAAAAATCGTTGTCCATATAATTTTTTAGCTACAACTGCTTAAATGTTGCTCAATGGTACCTTCGACGACAATCATACTAGCTGATGTTAATTATAAATTTGCAACAGTTGAAAATTTGTCTCTAATTAGCATCTTAAGCAACAACCCTTTTGTTGAATAGGAAACAATCAAACAATTGTTGCCCCAAAGTTTCATATACAACAATCACGTTAATTGTTGTCGATTTACAATTGGCAACAACTGGACGATTGTTTCTTATGCTTATTTATGACATCTGTTTTTCCAAACTATTATTGAAGTAGCAACAATCAAGCAATTGTTACCTTAACTGTTGCCAACTATCATTTTAATTGTTGATATTTAATTTAATAAATTGTCGCAAATATTGTAATAATTATCATGTAAAATGTCAATTGGTTTTGTACATTAATGGCTGCTTATATAAAGAAATTAGAGAATATTTAAAGAAAAAAGCAATTCTGTTGAAGAAATCACTAGGAGAACAATTGGTTTTGTACATTAATGGCTGGCTGTGATAGATTTATTTAAGCACATCTCCCACCAAATTTTTTTTTTTGAGTCTGCTACTTTCTTTTTGTGATACTTGCTAGAAAGTTTTGACTGTGGTTGTGCAAGCAAAGATAGTTTTCACTGTGGTTGTGCAAGCAAAGATAGTTATAGCAAAAGAATTGAAAGTGTTGCACTAGAATTTTCTGGATGTTCTATAGTAGGAATCCTTTATATGGTAGTTGGTCCTTCTTTAGCAAGAAGATTAGAGATTTAGAGCCTTTTTTGGTAGGAGATCTAGAGCTCTCTTTAGCAGGAAGGCTAGAGCTCTCTTTGGTAAGAGGGGAAGAGCTAGGGTTGGTCAACTCCTCAATATGCCCCCTCAAGCGAAAGTGGGCTGGAAGCACACGAAGCTTGGACCGAAGCCACTCAAACCGGTGAGAGGAGAGTGGCTTAGTGAGAATATCAGCAAGTTGATCCTGTGTGGGAAGGAACCGCACGATCAGAGATTTCTTAACAATAAGATCTCGAAGG